TCAGAGAGATACGCTTTCCAAACGTATTGAGATGGCGCAGCTGCAACAAAGGCAAGTGATGTTCTCGCTATAATCAACAAGAAACGTTCGCGGTCGAAAATCGATTCGTTTCTCATTTTTCGAGAGGAAGTTTTCTGCGCTAGAGCGCTCACATATATTGAGAAATCGTTGTCATTATTAAACTTGAATGGGCGAAATGAAACTTGTCGATTCGAGTTTTAAGAGAAAGCCCTCGAGCAAACACTGTGAGGTTTCGTTAACTTGCCTCTGTTGACAAACAGATCCCGACAGAAGCAGCCCCCAGTTAATTAGACATCAAAGTTTTATGCTCGGTCATCTTGCCAGGGATTTCCTCATGATGATACAGCTCGGGCCGCCTGAACGACACCTCCGCAATAGAGCAAGCGCGACAAGGGCTCAGACTATGAACAACGTAGCTATCAGACATTGTTCACGGCTTTCGACTCCGGGAAATCGGCTATTGAAACGCATCGTTCATCGCAACGCAACTCATCGCATTGCAAACTTTCGTTAGAAACGCATCGACAGGGAGAATCGGAGACTGGGAGGGTGAATCCAGAGAAGAGTTGGATTCGAGTCCATTAGAAGAGCCCGCAAAACGGGTAGCAAGGCGCACAAACCTTTGGCTCACTTTCCAGTTCTCAGCTTGGTCGGGATCAGCGGGATCGATACATATCTAACCCTTTTTGCGACGGTGCCAGAGCCCAGTCCACAAATACTGTTCCTTTCGTAACCTACGCATTCGGTCAGGGTCTAGACTGTGCCTCGATGGCAACGCCTGTAATGGCAGTTAACTCGGTGACAATGCGCTAGCCCAGTCAACCATGTAACGACAAATTAAACCGCTGCTCAGCGTCGAAGGAGGGAAAAACTCACCCAGGCTCGTATGCGGCGCGGTTTTTTGACGTCACCGCGGTGTCAGGGCGAAGCGAAGGGCGATGGCCTGCGCCTCCGCGACTGTCCCCCAATCAGCAGCCGCTTTTATGTGGAAGGAAAAAAAAGAGAGAGAAAGAGGGTTGAACGATATATGGTGTAAAAAATGTGTCAACACACGTGTAGAATGTGTCGCGACAAAAAGGGGCGGAGTTATTGGGGGCTGGGCATGTAATGGAGATGTAATATAGTGAAGTGTGTGTAGAAAATGTCTATGAAGGGCTATTTGTGCAAAAGTTGCAAAAAGAGCCACTATCAGGGCGAATTACGTCAGTAAATGGCGAGACTGGCGAAGTAGTTGCCTTCGGTTGTAAAAACGACACAAGCACCTCGTACGCAAACGTTTAAGGACAGGTATGACACATTGCCAACAGTTGGTTGTGACCTTATAACGGTATCACGTTTGCATAGGAGCTGCTTGCGTCGTTTTCACAACCGAAGGGAACTATTTCGCCAGCTTCGCCGCTGACTGAAGTAATACGCTTTGACACTCTTCTTTTCTGTGCTCTCTCACAACTATCATTTTCAT